TTGGAGATGAAATCAGTGGAGCTTCTGCTGCCCTTTGGGACATCCAGTTGACAGGAGCGCGGTGCCATCCAAGAGGAGAAGATCTTTAGGGGACTGCACAAATAAGTGTCCCCATACTCTTTCAAAGGACTGCTGGAAACTCAGCTGACCCTGGCCTGCCCACCTGACAGCCTTCTCTGGCCCCTACTGCACTTGGCAATGCTTTCTAGAGCAAAACAAATGAAGACCCCAAGAGGCCACAGAGTAGCATCCAGCATGGGGACATGGCCAGGGGAATGGACTCATATCCATGGCAGAGCATGTAAGGGTCTAATTCAGAAACACTCTGGGACAAGCCAAGGGACCCTGGTATACTGAGCTGCAATGCCCAATACTATAATCACTAACTACAGGTGGCTACTTCAATTTCAATTAATTAAAATTAAATTTTCAGTTCCTCAGTGATACTAGCCACATTTCAAGTGCTCAGTAGCCACATGTGGCTTAGAAGCTACCACATAGACAGCACAGATATAAAACATTTCTGTTGTCGCACACAGTGCCCTTGTGCTGACCACCGGAGACATGCCAAACACTTGACCAGCAAGTGTAGTCTTCACACAAGCCCCACAGATAAGCTCGATGGTCTTATTCTAGAGCAGTGGTTCTCAACCTTCTGGCCCTTTAAATACAGTTCCTCATGTTGTGACCCAACCATAAAATTATTTTCATTGCTATTTCATAACTGTAATTTTGCTACTGTTATGAATCGTAATGTAAATATCTGATATGCAGGATGGTCTTAGGCGACCCCTGTGAAAGGGTCGTTCGACCCCCAAAGGGGTTGCAACCCACAGGTTGAGAACCGCTGTTCTAGAGGCTTAGATACCACTCCAAAGGAGTTCGAGAGGACATATAACCTGGACCAACTGCTTCTTATTAGGAGACGAGGGAGCAGGACTACTTGTGATGCTCCAGGGGATGAAGCCCCACTGAGCATGAGCAGCCCTAGAGGAGATGAAAGAGATGAACTTGATTTTGAACAAACAGTTTGCAGTCCCTGGGTGTGCTGTTGCCTGCACATGTCAGAAGCTCAGGGGACATCTGGGCCCTAGAAACCATCATTTTAGAGGTGAAAAAGCCATGGGCATGAATGTGAGTGCAAGTCAGAGTTGGCAGGTAGATACTGTGGCTGGATGGAAGTAGATTTGCAATTATGAAAAAGTACTAGAAATTGTCACAGCCAAGAGGAACCTAAGGAGATATGACAACTAAATGTCATGTGAGATCCTGGAACAGAAAAAAAAGACATTGGGTAAAAAACTAAGAAAATCTGTGTAAAGAATGGGCTTTAGCTTAATAATAAAATGTCAGTGTTGAGTCATTAAGTGTGGCAAACGTAGCCTCCAATGTTAATAATAGGGAAAACGGTATGGGGGGATTCTCTGTACTATTTGTCAACTTTTCTGGAAATCTAAAACTATTTGAAAATAAAATGTGTAGCCGAAACCAGTTTGGCTCAGTGGATAGAGCGTCAGCCTGTGGACTGAGGGGTCCCGGGTTCGATTCCGGTCAGGGGCATGTACCTGGGTTGCGGGCACATCCCCAGTGGGGGATGTGCTGGAGGCAGCTGATCGATGTTTCTCTCTCATCGATGTTTCTGGCTCTCTATCTCTCTCCCTTCCTTTCTATAAAAAGTCAATAAAATATTTAAAAAAAAAAAAAGAAAAGAAAATGTGTAATCTTTAAAAGCTTATAAGGATGTTTCCCCGATGAGCAAAGAAGCCTTTATGTTCACTGTAATGGCTGTTCCCTTGGAGATCTCCCCGGAGTGGCAGGCCTGTAAGGGCACATTCTCCCCAGTGCCGCTTTATGGTCTGAGTCATGCTGTGAATCATCTCTGACAACACGCTGCTCCCTATGTTTACCCCACCTTAAGGGCATATCAAGGTGGCAGTAATAACACACTTCTCATCCAACCTAATCTTTCTTCTCGACCTGTCAATGTAGAAGCGCACCTCCTGTCAAAAAGAACCGCTTCCCGTTAGAGGAGACAAACAATGCACTTGAAAATGGGGATGGTCTCATTCTCCCCTGAACTAGGGTTATGATTGACATGTGGAGCGGGACATTTATTCACTGGGTGTGGTATACAGTTTCCCTGGCCCCCAGGCATGGTGGCAACCTGAACCACCCCCATACATTTCCAAATGTGTTCAACTCCCCATCTATCCCACCCACAAGATTCAGTAAACTAAACCATTAGGGATGTGACAATAGATTGGGAGGGAAGTGATGAAACATGTTGAAGGAGTAGGAAAACAGACATTCTAAAAAGAAATTAACTGCACATGTGATAAAATGGTAGTGAACTAAATACACACACACACACACACACACACACATACACACACACGTATAAGTCAAACAGGGGAAATCTGAGTAAGATGGGTGGATTGTATCAATGTCAATATCCTGGTTGGGATAGGTACTATTGTTCTACAGAATGTTACCCCTTGGGGGACAGATAACTACATGTAATCTACAATTATCTCAATAAATAAAATTTTCCATTTAAGAAAAGAACTTAAGGGCAGCCATTGTAAAGTCACAAATGCTAATCTCCCCCTTCTGACCCTCCAAACTCTCATCCACTTCAGCATCAGAAGGTGAACGAAGGTCTGGTTATAGAGTCAGGGAATCCAGAGTTCAAATCTTGACTCTGACTCTCACTAGCTGTATGACCTTGGGTAAGGTACATGATCTCTCTGAACTGCAATTTCCTCATCCAACAAATGGAATGACAGTACCAATTTGCAAGCATTTGTGGAATGATTAGATGTAATATGGAAAATGGCCAGCACAAGGTAGGCGCTCAATACATAGCAGGGATCCCTACTTCTCTAGCCCTTTGGTTGTGGTTGCAGAACATTGTCCCAAGTTCCCACCCACCACTTGCTCTATGCAGCACCCTCAACTCCTTTGTATCCTGTTTCTTGCACTGCGCTCACCTGGAAAACCCTGGGTCACACATCCGACCTACACACGGACATCCTGTCTCCTGACAGCAGGGAATACTCCAGCAGACACAACGCCATGCGTGTGCAGGCCCAGCCAAGTTCCACATCCCTTTTGGGCTGGCCAGCCATTCACTTCCTGCTCCCGCCCCCACGCCCTCCCCAGTGGCTAACTGCAGGCCATAAACTAACCAGCACCTGGAAATCCGAAATTCAGCCATTTTGGTACCAGAATAACCTGGAGGGCAAGGACTGTTCTGACCTCTGGTCTCCAGGAACTGGCCTGCTCACTCTTCTCTCCGTCTCTCCCACCCACACAGTTGCAAAGGTCAGGCCTAATAACATCCACCCTGACTTAGGATGTCCTGGGGTCAAGCAATGCAGGAACCAGCAAGCTGGTTCTCTCAGCAGGCACTCTAGGGAAGAATCCCAGGTCCCTGGCTTACCCAAGATCTCGGTGTGAGCCAACTACGCTGGCTTCTGGGTTTGGGGGAGGGGTGGCAGCAGGGGAAGGGCTCAGATCCCCAGAGGAGTCTGCCACCCTGATCATCCCTTTCTTGAGTATACGGGGAGAGAGGCCTGGGCTGGAGGGGGTCACATGCTGTGTCCTCTTAGCATGGGAGAAATAAGGAAGAAGAAATTGTGTCTGACCTTGCAAACCCACAGGCCAAAGGCCCAATCCTGTTATCATTATTATTATCATTATTCCTCTAGAAATGAATGAATATTCATCCCTGTCAATATGAGTGCCTCAAACTCAACACAAGAGTTAAAACCTCGCTTTGTGTATGTGGACTCCTGTCCAAAGTCCCAGGTGGAGCCTCTGGTCTAAATCCCAGTCCCCAAGACACAGACCAACCTGGCATCTGGCAGAACCACCCCAGCTCTGGGCACCTTCGTGTGCATGGAGTCCACACTGCTATCCAGCCCTCTGCCACTGCTCTTGGTGCTGGAGACCTGACCACAAATGTCACTCCTTACACAACCCCCTCCCATTCACCCTCCAACCTCCTGTGAGTGGGTTGAACTGTGCAGAACTCTCTAAACCCCTTTTATCCTGCTCCTTGGAGCATGGACTAGAGCTACCCATCCCTCGAGTCCCTCCAGGCCACCAAGAGAGCTCTCTCTGCATCATTAGCAGGCCCCCAGGCTGGGTACCACAGGCCAGGAGTGGACTCCATGAAGGACAGGGCCCTGGCATCACCTTGGTTTTCCCTCCTCCCCCTGCAGCTCCTCCTTTTTCCCTGACACAAAGCAATCTCTCTGCCCCACCCCTTCTAAGCCGGATCTCCATGAAGGTACTCTAACCAAGAAGCCTGTCAGGCTTGCAATGAATCCTCTCTTCTAGGGCAGCACGGTCTTAGGGCTGGCTCTGCCATAGTGGGCCACAGGGCACTGATCCACCTGACCGAGACCAGGAGCTTCTGGTGCTGAGCCACAGCTCTGGGTAAATGGCGGGACCCCTGGAGCCTCTCCAATTTCTGCGCAACCCAGAAATGGCAGCTCAAGTTTTTCCTTTAATTCAGTTCTCTGAGCCACTCCGAGGTCCTTCAATGCATTCCTTTCCCACCTTAAACCAGCCAAATCTGAGTTTACTGCTTGCATTCAATAGAAACTTAGCCAACAACCCTGAGCTCAAACAGGGACTTGGCCCCCAGAGTTGAATCAGTGAAGTGTGTTTGGCCCACATTTGTCCTCTGTCCAGTTGATCTCAGGAGGTTCTTGTGTGGTCCTGGAGCTAGAATTGGTCAATGTGATCAGAAACACTGCCCCTCCCCTATATATTTCCAGGGAAATGGCTTACACAGGACACTAGGAGAAAGCCTAGGACACACTGGGCCCCACAAGTGAGCACATCCATTTCAGCTGCCTTCCCACCTTGAAGAGCCAGAGCTGAGCTGCAGGGAAGGTTGGCCTCCCCATCCCAGACTCAGGTACCCTAAAGGCTGCAGCTTCTGTTGGTGACGTCACTCAGCCTCCCCAGCAAGCCAGCCTGACTCAGGACCCAACAGAACAGACAAACTTTATTTCTGTGAAGAGACTCACACTTTGGTATTTAGCATAACTAAAGGGCTAACTGTGGAGCTTTGCTCATGGGCTGCTAATATCCCATTTCCGGTCCTCAGTCACCTCTTCACTCATCGGCAGTTGTCTCCTGGTCTTTCTTCCCTTCCTCAGGATCTCCTGAGTCTTTCAGATTTTGACGAGCAAAATCCTCAAAAACCAAATTTTCATCCTGAAAACTAAAATTAAACAAAGAACATTTTGATCATGGCACACTATGAGGCTTACAACGAAATCTCAAGCAAAACAGATCTTTTTGCAACAAAGGAACTGATGGAGAGTTTCCTGCATGATGAACACAGGACCCCACCCTTCTCATATTTGTTCATGGAAAATCTCTTTAACGGGCAAAAAAACAGTGAAAACCCAAGAGCAAACTACACACCCACTATATCCGTGCATGCATGTGTCATGTGTGTGCATGTGTTTGTTTGTGTGTCTTAGTACTAGGAAACAAAAGGAAAACCAGGGTCCAAACCTGTGTCAAGAGCATGAGGTGTGTACAAAATGACCCTAAAAGTGGTTGTGCCAGATGAGAAAGTCACAGAACACAGGGAAACAAAGGGCAGTGGCTCACCTTTCCTTTGCCATAGCTGCGGCATGGAATGAAAAAGAGAGAGAGAGTAGCATAAATTCTGTATAATGGCTGCACCTGGAAAATGTCTTCCTTGTTTAGTGATTTATAGTTGGGGGAATAAAAGGTCTAGATACATACATTTCATGATAATGGCATGTAATTCCTTCTTCTTTGCCTTTTCCTGCTCGGGGAGCCTTCTCCCTGCATTTTTAGCCATTGCTTCTTTTTAAAGTGCCACAACTCTCACCTGCTCAAGGGGACCAAGCCACAATCTCACCTCCAGAACCCTGTCCTCTCTGATGTCACACTTCTCTTTGAAAGCGTCTCTCCCTCCGTGTCCCTAGGACCATTCCAGATCAGAGTCCCCAGGTGCTGTCAGGATCCAAGCCTACCCACTTCAAACCATCCACACGTTCAGCTCTTGAGAGGTGAGTCCTAGGCCTCATGCTTACCCAGCATCCCCAGCGGTTGGGGTGGGCATTAGACCTTGAGAACTACCTCTGGTCCTCTCCATTTCTCTGTCAGCATATTGATCTTCATTTTGTTGGGTTATATTCTCATGTATGTTTTGCAGCCCCAGTTAATTGCTATTCATTTGGGGTGTTTTTTTGTTCTTTTTTTTAGCTTTCTGCCTCCCTAGTAAAGTACTGAGCCAGGAAGAGCGAAGTGATGCTAAACAACTCCAGATGGTTTCTCGGGAACCCCATGCTGATGGCAAGCCACTGCTCTTGTGCCTCGTGCCCACCTGGAAGCCAGCCCTGAGAGGGAAGTGCCTGTGTGGGCTGCTAACCACAGGAAGCCTACGGAGAGGCTGACTCATCAAAACATCCCCTGGGCAAGAAGCCTCCAGGACCCCCTCAGTGCTGAGCATAAAATTATACTAAGTGGGACCATCAGCCCAGAAGAGAATCCAATCAACACCCTGCGTTCCACGTGGATGCTCTTGACAGGGGACAAGAAAAGCTTGGTAGCATTTCTACAGCACTTACTACATGCAAATTACTTGGCCCCTGGCCCTGGCAGAGTTTCCCAGCCGCAACCTAACGCTTCCTCTGCTTGGAGTCTGTCATCCAGGCCAGGAAGCAGGGACCTAGGCAGGTGAGACGTGAGCATGCATCCATGAATAAAACTGAGTGACTCATAAATCTCTGGAAATCAGAATGTCAAGGCCATAGGGTGACTTGTCCTTTTTCCCTGAATTCTCATAGTATAAAAAAAGATCATTGGTGAGTCCAGATGTGTGATATGTTCGATGTAAGGACCAGAATGACTGGAACATGGAAATGTCATACCCAGAAAAGGAATAATGCCACTTCCCCCCAGCTCAGCCATAACGTCTGTTCACAGCTGCAGAAAACAATTTCACATAAACTGTGACATCTCCTCAGGCCACAGTTTAAAAATAGCCTTTGAAAATGTCCTTGAAAGAGACCAGAATGCATCTCAATCTCACATAGTTCAAAATAGTATTTTAATGACACAAGCATAAGTGAATAAAATAAACATGGCTAGACTGTATGTTTCCCCCGGGGGAAGGTTTTGGCAAAGCACACTGAGCATTTGAATCCAAACTATTTGGAAAAGATGCTTGGAGACAAAAAATTTTTGAGACAAACCCAAATGAATCTGGGGCCCCTTCTACTGTTCAGATGTCATTTCATTATCCATTTCATAAAAGCTAGATATAAAGTATGAGGAAAAAAGAAATCCTGCTTGCTTACACCACTTTTACTCCCAATGTTCCTTACTGCTGTAACTGTGAGATTCCCTTTCGGGCAGGCCCATTCCTCTGTCCTGACAACTGAACACTCAGTGGAGAATTTTTCTCAGAATTTCCCAGATGGCACCTGTATTATTTTTGCTGCTTCATCCATCTTTTTTAAGAGAGCTCTGTTGAGATCCAATTCACATAGCATACAATTCACCATTCACGTGTACAGGCCAACAGTTTTTAGAACATTCAGAGTCGTATAGGCATTGCTTCATTTACTTTTAACACCTGTACGAGAGCCAATAGAGTTACGATTCACAGGAGTCACGGTGTCAGGACCCCAGCCTGACCCTCTTTCTTGGTATTTTCTATCTTCTCATCACAATCTCCACTGTCAAAAACACTCATCTTCCAAAGGCCTGCTAATGTTTCCAAATGAAATGCAAAAGCCTCAGGCTCTCAAAATTATTTTTCACCTTAAACTTTCTTTACATCTAAACCTAGGTCTGTTCAACAGGAGAACCTATGCTTTTAAATCATTCCTGACAAAACCTAACAAGATTGCCCATGTCTGAGCCCAGGGCTGCTACGTCCTCCACGTGCTCACGGAGGGTGGACAAGCACCTGGCCCAGGACTGAGCATGTGAGCACGCCTTCCCGGGGCCGGGCACCTTGAAGATGACATGGACATGCCCGCCTGTGCTCACAGGTGTGGTCAGGAAAGACTAGCAGTGAATTTGTAATCAATCTGAAAGTTGTGAATGACAGAGAAAATCAGGGCACTGCGGACTGACCTGGGTCCTCAGGCTGTGGGTGCATGAGGCGGAATGGCACTTCAGTGGCCACTTCACTACAAAAGAGAAGAAAGCAGATTGTTCTCACACACACAATTATAAGTTGCACAGGATCCAGTGAGATTCAGAGCAAAACAAACCAGATGTCAAGAAGTGATCAAGTAAGACTTTTAAATGTATTCCCTGGCAGGTGGTCCAGAAACGTCACATACTCATGGCCTAGGTGTCTAGGATTTTCAGGTTCCTTTCCTCCTGGTTATTAGTTTCAGCGACACCATATTGTGGTGGAGGACAGGTGGAGGGAGAATAGTTTTGAAAAATATCCTTTGCAAAAATGTACACAATTTGTATGTTACATCTTCTATGTAAGGTTGGTGGGTTGGGGACCGGGGACACAGTCTCTTGAATAGAGAGCAGAATAAAGATGATGAGAGATCGCCAAATTCCAGAGGCTAAAGGGCTTTGGGGCAGATTGGAACTTACATAAAAAGAAGGAAGGAAAGGAGTCGGAAGGAAAGCAGAAGGGAAATCTAGACAAAGGGAGAATGGCAAGGGTGTGTGGTCGTCTGTATGTGTGAGAGCATGTGCTTCACCTAGGACCCTCTACCTCCCACCCCACAGTTACCACTTTGGTCAAAGCACATGTTTACAAGGCCGTTGTCACCACACCCCACTACAGACATACAGATGGGGTCTAGAAGAAGATGCAGACCCTGGTTCGTGAGGGAAGGAGATGGTAAGAGTTGGGATGAAGGAGTATGTAAGATCAGTGCCTGTCTCCAACATGTGAGACTGCCTCTTTGTGCATGGTATGAAAGGCAGCTGTGACTATTCACAATAGCCAAAAGGTGGAAACAACCCAAATGTCCACCAAAAGATGAAAGGACCACAAAATGTGGCATATCCATACAATGGGATATTATTTGGCCATACAGGGAATGAAGCAGAAACACGCTACAACACGATGAACCTTGAAAACACTATGCTGGGTGAAAGAAGCCAGACACCAATGGACAAATATTGTCTCATTCTGTGTACAGGAAATGTCCAGAATAGGCAAACTTTTGGAAATAGAAAGCAGATTAGAGGTTGCCAGGGACCAGGGAGAGAATACAGGTTTTCTCTTGGGATGGTAAAAATGTACAGGAGCTCAGTGGCGGTGACAATCACACAACAACTGTAAACACACCCGACACCACTGAATCGTACACTTTCAAGGGGTTAAAATGGTAAACCTCATGTTATGTACATTTTATCAAACACACAGCCACACCAAGGCAGCTGCATGGAGTGTGCCAGTTTCCTGAGTGTGTGTGTTTGTGTCCTTGCCCAGGTGTAGGCTCAGCTGTGGTCTCAAAGAAACATCCCCAGCTCTTGGCCAAGTTTTGCATGATGCACCCGAAAGGCAGAGGGCATGGTTTCATAATGGCTCTGAGCACAGCTGCCAGGAAGCCAGGCTCCCCTGTGACTGTTTTGAACCCCAGGTTGTTCCTTTGATACCCTGGAATCAAGCGAGAAGGAAGGTGACGAGGCTTACCTGGAGGTGAATTCTCCCAGAAAGCTAGGAAACAAAAGCAGACAGGGCTGTGGTGACTGCCCACCATGGTAGCATGGCCTCATTTCCCATTACTTAGAGGAGGGACGTGTCCCAGTCCTCTCCTTCACTCACAACTTTTAGGACCTTTGTGTCCCTGAATATTCAACTCCACTGTTCCTCTCCATTTGTGATTTCTCAAATGGATTAGTTCAAATGAGGAGGCACTTAGGTTCAAGCCCTACTGTTTAAGAGTAAACCACAGATCAGAATTTCTCTCTTGGCCACAAAGATTATTGTAAGAGAAACTCTACTCTGCTTTACATCCTCTTTGAGAAAATGAAAGAAAACACTGTACATCTTGAAAAACACACAACGAACACAAACACTGTTAACAAAATTGGCAAAATCAACCTATGTTCTACTTTGTTGTCCCAACCAAAATTTGGGCAACTCTTAATCTACTCAGAATTACGGAATCTATGCCTGGACTTGTCTTTGATGGTTGAACAAACCAAGGCTCATATAGGTTAGAGGCCAGAGCCATTGGCAATGGAATTTGAAAAGGAAAATGAGAATTCAAAGTTTTCCCTTCGTTAAAATATGTTCTTAAAATTAATTTTAGAGAGCTCAGAAGGAAGAGGGGGGAGCTGCCTCCTGCATGCCTCCTACTGTGGCTCAAGGCCATAACCCCGGCATGTGCCCCGACCAGGAATTTGAACCAGCAACCTTTTGTGCATGGGACAATGCTCCAACCAACTGAGTCGCATCGGCCAGGGCTCAAGTTTTTCTCTTTTGGGAAAGGTTTTTAAAATGGATGAAATTCATTTTACTAAAAAAGATAAAACCATTTCCTCGGAATTCTGAGATATCTGTTCTCTTGAATAAAAAGGAAACTCCCAAATCCTGTGATTACACATTAGGAAGGGAAGGAAAGATCTCTTCCTTATGAACGGATGCCTCCCTGAGATCTAAGAGAGCTCCCTTGATAGCCACCATTCCTTCCTGAAGTTCAGCACCACACTGAACTCATCATCCTTTTTTGCATGTCAACTTCCACCACATAAGCATAGGCACACCCACTCTTGTCATGTGGTACTAATAGTACACATATTTCATCATCCACTTTTCTACCCTTTTCCATGTGCTGTTCTATCAGACAGAAATATGAAACTAAATCAACAGAGTCTTTCCAAAACTCTACTCGGTAATCGGTAGAATTTGTGGCCCTTCCTATGCTTTATGTCTCATCATTCAGGAAGGAAACAATTTAATCAACGGCCAAGACAGGGCCAACAGAGTGGTGGGACTTGGACACTCACCCTGACACTGTGAGCTTCACCTTGACCTGGTAAGACACCAGAATCCCCAGGACAGTCCGGTCTATGCCCTCCTTGATGCTGCACAAACAGAAAGGAGAAGTAGAAGAATGCAGGGGAGCAATAGAAAGCAAGGACTGGGAAACCAACCCCTCATCTCCACGCAGGCACACCATCATGGGGGCGTCTTCTCAAGGAACTGGTGAACTCAACCGAGCTGTCAAAGTCCTAGAACTTTCTATACTTGGGGCAGAGGGATTCCTCTCCTGCTTGTAGCTTGGTGTCTCCCCTCTGGAAGTTCAAGGACAGGATGTGCTTCCTGGTTCTCCCTGCTCTGCCTTACACTGAGTCATCTCCTGAGCTGTGACTACTCACATTGTGCTGGAGGCAAGATTCGTGTCCTCATGCTTGATTTTCCCATCCAGGGCGATGCCCCTCCGTTCTCGGTTGTTGGCCAGCAAGGGCACCAGCGTCAGCGTTGTGGTCAGAGTACTGTTTGGCAGCACTTTTTCTCTGCAGGAAGATAATCAGAGAGGCGATTTGGCTAATTGCTCTCATAGCCATAAAGCCACCATCCATCCCAGGAGCCCATGTGTGCCATCAAGCATGTTCCAGATCTTAGCTCCCTGCGATTCATTGAAAATGTAGTTCAGATACCTGTGCATTTGCCTTACGAGAGGCAGAAGAGTATTACTGACAACTCAAAATAGGCTGCCAGCAACACTACGACATTTCCTCGAGTCCCTTGGTCTGCTCTAATCACTGAATTCTAGAATGTTCTGTGGGGTTAAATGATACCGACTGGCCCAAGGGTCAAGGACCACACCGATCTCCTCTTGAGACTGTGAACCACACAGTTGGCTGCAAGGCCACCTGTTGCCAAAAACTGTCACTCTGGGGAGGCGGGGGGGGTGGGGGGAGGAACGGTCAGCATGTCCCATGGTGGGTGATCGAAAAGGGGAAGGCAAGGTCCTCCATTTGTGAACCAGAGACTGCACTGGTTTGGGTTCAGAGCAGCACATGCTCCCAGATCTTTTCCATGGTCAGTCGGATGGAGGTGTTTCCACCATCCGACAGACACAGGGGACTGGTATCAAAGCGTAGATTTGAAATGGAGCTTAGAACACAGCAGCATGTTTCTTCAGGCCAGCAGGACCCAGCTCACTGATCCCAGTGGCTCTGCCACACATCTGCACACTGACACCAGGCCACACTGAGCCATCAGAGTGGCCTTGTACCTCTTCCAACCTTATGAATGAGTAGGCACTCGCAGGATCTCCACTTTGCAACCAGGGAAGCATGCCGGGCACCCCCACCCCCTAACCCTGTATCTGGCCAGGGATAGGCGGGGCTGGGCCCTAAAAACAGTGCCCAGGAGTGGGCCTCAACTCTTTCCTTAGCCTGCCCTGAGACAGGCTGGGAGTCTGAACTACCACACTCAGAATGGCTTCCCTATTTGAGTCCCCTGTGGAGTTTCAAGCAGCTGTGGCTTCTCTCACCTGCAGTGTGTACGGGAAGCTCCTGGGCATGCTCATTACAGAATTCTGCTGGAGCACGAGATGGCCCCCACCCTCCCATCTGGGCCCTGTGGGAACCTCTCTCCCTCTCTCTCTCTCTCTCTCTCTCTCTCTCTCTCTCTCTATATATATATATATAGATATAGATATAGATATAGATATAGATATAGATATAGATATAGATATAGATATAGATATAGATATAGATATAGATATATAGATATATTTTAACTGATCTTAGAGAAGTAGGGAGACAGAGAGAGAGATAGAAACATCAATGATGAGAGAGAATTATTGATTGGCTACCTCCTGCATGCCCCACTGGGGGTCAAGACCGCAACCCAGGCATGTGCCCTGACCGGGAATTGAACTGTGACCTGCTGGTTCATAGGTTGACACAAACACTGAGCCATGCTGTCTGGGCAGGAACCTCTCTTAACTTGTTTGGTTTGAGCCACAAATGACAAAAGCAGAAATTATATCCTAAGGGGAAGGTAACAGGAAGAGGGATGGCCAGCAAGGCCACTTCTCAGGCCCTTAGGACCTGGAGTTGAATGGTGGGCAGTACTCCTGAATGAGTGATGGAAGACCACCCACTAGAACCCAGGGAGCCCCAGGGTTCAAGGACGAGGGCCATGCTCTGTCGCCCTCGCCTTCTGAGTGGCTTCTGGTCTGAGACGCATTAGCACATTCCCACCTAGCTTTCAGTCTCCCTGCCACTTCTAGGGGGCCCTAGATTGGTTCCTAGTTTCCTGAGAATCATTTGGTCCAAAAATGTACCGAGAGCTGAAAAGAGAACCAGATTATGGGGTATATTAGTGGAATCTCAGCTGAGACCGTTCCCTCCTATCACTTGTTGAGCATATGCCCAAAGGTGAGCCATGAAGACTCCTAGGTCACAGTGTGCAAAGATGCTCCTAAAAGAGACCTTAGGCTTGGTTGCTGAGTTATGCTTCTTTCCTGCATAACTGGATCTGCTTTGGGTAATAGTTTATCCCAAAGTTACCTTTTAAATATTGGGTAATATTATCTTGCCGAATCAGTTTGTCTTTCCTCACCACCCTTTCCTCTAACGGTGGTAATACTGTTTGCATACATCAGTACTTAGAACATGCCAGCTAGACAAAGACCTTCCCAAGGGATCCTCCCTGGGGCATGTGTGTTTAATGACTCTATCTGCCTGCCTAGCACAAAGCAAGAATGGGCAGGTCTCTCCCTCCACCAAGAAGAAGCTATTGCAGTGTTGATTCTTGGTTTTGGTTCTAATAAAGGGAGAAAAGTCATTCGTGATAAGGGGCTGAGACTTGATCCAGCATGCTAATCCAATTGGTATGAGATTTTCAAATTGAGGAGAAGATCAAAAGATAGAGAGCCCTCCCTGGGCTGACAGACTGTTTGAATATCTGCTGCAGGGAGGGAGGTAAGGAATAGTATCAAGTCTCTAGCAATGTCTTCCAAGGATACATACAAGGTCCAGCTGTTCCCACTGTGACATTTCTAGGTTTATTTCTCTCCTCTCTGTCAATTCTTAGCTTGACCGATCTCTCAGGACTCTTGGGAGTGAGAACGGAATGGAGATGCTAACCTTCTTTGCAGCCCTTGAAGTGAGAAAAGGGAAGGAAGTGAAGAGCTGGCAAGCTAGCTGAGCATTCACTTCCCTTGTCAAGATGGACAAAAGGGGAACTTGACAAAGAAGCCTGGGCCGCCCAGGAAATAGAAACCCAACAGTTACTCACTGTGCTTCCTCCTGGGCCACCGGCTTGACGTAATAGTCGCTCGAGTAGAGAACCACATTGGCCACTTGTTCCACTGCAGAGGGAGGACAAGGGTGGGTGATTCATGTGGGGTTCTTCATGCAGGTGCCTGGCCTTCTGGGGATGCGGTTGGTCTTCCTTCTCTCATGCTTCTCAGGCTTAGCTTTCTCAGCTCAAAGCTTAAAGGCTGAGATTTCTGAAGCCACTTCTGTTCACCAATATAACTTGCTTTGTCACAACTCCTACCCATGAGCCAGTCTCCTAAAACTGCACCTCCTGGGAGGCCCCTCCTCTCTGCTGAGCCTCTGATGTGCCTCTGGGTGTCCTTCCAAGGCACACAATCTTCCAGCATCAAATAACTCACCACTTGCTCTTCTCCTCCAAGCCCACCCCTTCCAGCATTCTCTGTCTTACTGAAGGAGCATCCCCTTCCAGGTGTCCAAGCCAGAAACCATCTGGAGGCCCCTCAGGATGGGCTTGTGGGTGCACATGGTGGACAGGAGGGTGGGTTCTGGAACCAGACTACTTGAGTTCAAATCCCAGCTTAGCTGTCAGCTGTGAGTTACTTAGCACCTCTAAGCCTCAATTTGCCCATCAGCAAAATGGGAGTGATAACTGCATCTAACTCATATGAGTGTTGTGATGATTAAAAAGATGAATTTTAATCTCCACTAAAATAAAAATTGAGCCCAGTTGGTGTGACTCAGTGGTTGAGCGTTGACCTATGAACCAGGAGGGCAGGGTTTGATTCCTGGTCAGGGCACATGCCCGGGTTGCAGGCTTGATTCCCAATCTGGGGTGTGCAGGAGGAAGCTGATTGATGATGTTCTCTCTAATCGATGTTTCTATCTCTCTATCCTTCTCTTTTCTTGTTTTTCTAAAAAAGTCAATAAAAATAAAATAATAAAAAGTAAAAATTGAGGATTAAAAGAAATAATTTGTTTGAAGCACTCAGCACAGAGCCGAAAATTTAATAGCTTCTTTAAAAAATTAATGGTGTTAATGTTAGCATTTATAAAACTTTGAGAAATAATTTGAAATCAAAGTATCAAATGATACTTTCACAATCATGTTACTTTGTATTGAACACTATATATAAGTCAGGTTCTATAAGGAATTAAAGGCATATGAACTAAACCAATATAAAACAAGCCATAAATTAAACATTCATATTAGCATCAGGAAATACCTAAAATTCTTTAGTATGCATGCAGCAAAATTCCTGAACCTTATCAATGACACATAGGGTGACCCATCTTGGTCTGCCTGGGACTGGCCTCGTTTTAGCCTGAAAGTACTGGAATGGTAAATCACCCTAACACACAAAGTCTACCTTTGTCTTAGTCATCAAATGTTTGAGTTGGAAGCAAATTTGGAGGTGTCCCACCTATGTTATTCTGTCGTGTCTTTTTTTATGTAGCCCATATAAGACCATTATATAAGACCATCTCCTGCATGTGGACGCCCTTTGAGCTGAGGAAGTGTCAGAACAGCAAGTGGGTGGCGCCTCTCCTGTAGTATTGGTGGGGCTTAGCCATCACCTTGTGGGGATTCAACATGACCAGCAACAGTAGCACTTTACCATTTACAAAGGCCCTCACAAAACCCAGGGAGGTAGACCAGGAGCCCCTGCCATGAATGTCAGTGGGACTTGGAGAGGATGCACACAACAGAGCCTACAAGAAGCCAGTGTCCTCAGGCCAGTGTCTTCCCACCATGCTGTGCTGATCTGTCAACACAACTCTTCACTGATCCCAGCCTGAATTCCTGTTCAGGTTGTCCTGAGACCTGGCCCTGGGCCCCTCCAGGAAGATCACCTGTCAGGAAGTTGTCCCCAGACCAAAGTCAGCCTTAAGCGTGGATGCCATCAAAGGGCTTTCCTCCCTGTGAGGCCCTGCTGTCCATGACAACAGAGGCAAACAGGTAGTTCCAAGGACCCAGGAGGGCCTTGTCTGACCAGAGGAGAGACCCTCGGGAAATAGGACTAGGTTGAGAAATTCCAGAAGACTCCACCCTCCAGCTTTGAGCAGCAGGTCCTACCTAATGCTTTAATCTTCTTTACTGTCTTCTCTGTGTTGTTGGTCACAGTCACGGTCACAGAAATGGGTTCCCCATGGAAGTAGACCTGAAAACGTTAACAGATAAATCAGAAAAGGGGAACAGAGGGTGGTGGTATCTTTAATCTCGTGGCTTTCTAAATTCATCTCAATTCTTTAACTAGAATGAGTGGCTGGATCTCCATACTTTCAAGGAAGATAAAGTGACAGCCATGTGTCTCCTCTAGAGGAGGGTCTGGAACACGCTCTGCCCATCTGTGGGTGCTGAGATGGAAAAGGTGACTAATGTGGAGCAGAGTGAATTGCCCGGAATATCCAAGTCCTGAGAGTCACTGCAGAGTTAGCCCTGGGATTCTGGGTGGAACCATAAGGTTATTTGGGGCAGAACGATGAAATGGAATGAAATCAGTGGGGTAGAGCTCTCCTCAGTGGAGGTGCCTGTGTAACCTGGGTCCAGGCAGGCAAGCCCTTGCACATTAGCATGTGAATACACATGCTTGCACATGCACACATGCACATGCAGGCACACACCCATGTGCACACAGAGTATTTAGGCTCTTGCCAACATGTGTGTGTGACTCTTGGTGACCAGAAGGGCCAGAGACAGCCTCAGCCAGTGGTTCTTCACCTTTTTTGTCTATGACACACCTCATAGATGACATTAACCTGTGTCATGGCCGCCCCCCATGGTTGAATTTTCCAGGGAAGTAAACAGTTTGCAATACCACACACATTGATGCCACACTAATAAATGAGGGCAGAGTGGGGTAAAGATAGCCTGGAGTCAGGGTGTGACATTCTGCCACTCCCAATGCCAGTTGGTCAGGACTGACAATGAGTGGAGTGCAAGTCAGTGTGACCTTATTCTAATGGTCACCTTTACTAGCTCCAAATGAAGAAAAAGAGCCAATCGTTCTCAAAGGTTGGTACTTAAACTGTCCCTAGAAACACGCCCACAGCCGTTAGGGCACTGAGCGGAGCCCACCCCCAGACCTGCTCCCACACGGAGCACAGTAGTGCCTATAGGTTACCTCTTTGTTCAGGGAGACTGCAAGGTGCAGGGGCTTGTCGGACATGAAGAACTGCCAGGCGGCCTCAGCCCGGGGCTGGGGACCCATCTTGGATGGTGCGTGCTGTACCTTACGGATCAGTAAACGCACAGAGCTCCTGTGGACGGGAAGTCACAGACAGTCCTGCAGTTAGTGCTCAGGCCTCTTCAGGACGGCCCCCAGGTCTCTCTCCCATAGTCACCCTGGGAACCAACAAACAGCTGAAGCCAATGAGGGATGGAGGAGGGGCCGGGGACCTGTTTTCCAGGCTTTTCTCTGTGATTTCACCAGCTGGGTGGTGTGGGGCCCATCTGCTCTCCTGAGGGTCACTCCCACATCCTGGGTTAGGGCTCTGGGCCGCCTCCTCTGGGGGAGGCTGATGTGGGAATTCATGTCATGTGCTTTACAGGACATGCTTCAAATGTGTGCTCCATCACTGCTACTCATCACTATGGCAGCAATAGGTGTGTGCTGAGTATGAGGAGAAAGTGTTGGTGATGGAGTTGGAAACTGTGTTCAGGTATAAGAAGAAAACAAGAAAAAAAAGAAGAAGAAGAAGAAAACAAGTCCGGCTGGAGTGGCTCAGTGGCTGAGTGTCAACCCAAGAACCAAGAGGTCACTGGTTTGATTCCCAGTCAGGGCACAAGCCTGGGTTGTGGGCTCAATGCCCAGTAGGGGGCGTGCAGGAAGCAGCCAATTAATGATGTTTCTCTCTCTTGATGTTTCTATCTCTCTATCCCTCTCCCTTCCTCTCCTTAAAAACAAACACAATAAATATATATATATATATTAAAGAAAAGGGGAGACCAGGCCTAAGAAGATAGGAGAGATTTGAGGTATTGCTCAATGAGCAGAGTTTCTGCTTGGAGTAATGAGACATTTTGTGTGTAACTATGATTACACAACATAGTGAATATACTTAATGCCACTGAATTGTACATTTGAAAATGGTTAAAATGGTAAACTTCATTTTATATATGTTTTACCACATGAAAAAAATGGCAAAAGAAGAAGAAAACGAAAGAAGGAATCTGGAGGCTTTCAGGGCCTTACGGGAGCCCTTGAGGTTGCTAACTCCCGTCATTCTCTTTTGGTTTTTCCCCCAAATGATCAGTCACTGATCCTTCGGAGCCTGGTTAGAGGTTGTCCCAAATGCCCTGGGCTAGGGAGGCTCCATTATCCTCAACGTGCAAGCCCCCTGGGAAGAGTCCTGCCATAGACACAAATTGAAGGGTGGTCTCTTACCACCTCCCACCCTGGCCCCTCACCAACTCCCACAACTTACTTCTTGGGAATTTTGTCCTCTTCATCATTGGTGCTGTCTGTAGCGAATGCTTTGACCTCGAAGTCGACCCCACAGCACTGCAGGGACAGAGAGCAGACAAGATCAAGGTCAGGACCACCCATCTTGGATAGGTTATATGGCACTTGGGAGTGTCACTTGCACCTTCTGTTTTGGTCTCAGCCTTATCCTTTTCAGGGTTCGCCATAAAAATGTCATTACCTACCATCACCCCGGCATTCTTAGCCATGCAACACCTCGCTTCTGGTCCCCCTGCCCTCCCACCGTGTGCGTTTCCTGCACAAGCCACGTCTTTCACCAGTCTACGGTGGGGACACACGATTCCTTCTTCTGAAATGCTTAACGCTCCTCTTTCTCTCTTGTTCATATTTGACAAACTCCTGTGTATTCTCCAAGCCCCAGCGCAAAGGTCTCCTCAGCTGTATGGCCCTGAGACCCCCAGGCATGCAGACGCCCCCTCTCCCAGGCCTTGCTGGCCTCAGTTCACACTGTGCTCTGATACTTCCTCTCCCAGGATGGACTGAAGGGTGGCACTTTGGCTGGCACAGTGTCCCCCAGTCTGATTTAGTGACCTCGTCTTCCTCCATCTGGCTGCCCACACCCGGTTTTCTAGACCAGTGGCTTTCAAATGTCTCACCACCATGGTAAGAAGTCAAGTTTATAGTGTGGCCCAGCAAACAGACACGTGCATGTGAAACAACTCCCGTAAAATATCCCTGAGCTTTGCTGCATGTGAGACACTGAGATTTCCAGCTCTCTTCTGTTTCATTCTGTTCCACTTTCCTTAAATGCCACTTCGGGCCCATGGCACTGATTTCACAACCTCTAACATGGAGGCAGGACCCCACTTTGGAGAGCGTTGCCCCGGACCCCTCACTACCTGTCACTGCACCCTCCATCCAGGTGTAGACCTGCCACTCTGCCCTCACCTGGCATGTGTCTAGCTCCCTCCCACAGGTACCCCAGATGCCAATGACTCTTCCACCACTAACCCTGGGTCCCAGCACCTTCCATTCCCTCCTCCTATCCCCTGTCCTCCTTCCTTGCCTGGAGTGCCTGGTCCACCATGGACACTGCTCCCCTGCACAGATTCAGCCCCTTTCCTTCTCTGTCAGTTCACAGCTCAGGTTTGGCCATCCAACCCCATTCTCAGCGAGTGGCCAGAGCGATCCTTTGGAAACCTAAGTCCAGAGACCACCAAGGGTTCCCATCTCACTCAGAGAAAGTCTGAGTCTACAGCACGGTTCCTGAGGCCTTTCACAATCTGGCCAGACCTCCCACACCTCTCTGACCTGGTCCCACATTTCGCCCCTGCTCCTCCTGCTCCAGCACACACCAGGCAGCATCTCCTCTGCTTGGAAGGCTGTCTGCTAGAAGGGAATGGCGTCTCCTTTACCCCATTAGAGAGGCCGTCCTTAAATATCCTGAACAAGCACCCTCCACGCTCCCTTTGCTTCTCAAAGCCTCCTGCTCTCCAGAGCGCCTGGCATCCTTGATTGCACCATAGGTACTTGTTACTTGCTTCTTGACTGTTTCTCTCCATCAACCTGTGAGACCTATGAGGGGAGGGACTCTACCATTTTGTCCACAGGATTACTCATGGTTAATACTTGCTGAAGACAAGCTACAGGCTCATTAGACTGTCTCTCTGTGTATGTTTGAAATTTTCCATTTAAAAAAAAAACCATTTTTGAAAGTCTTTTGAAGGAACGAATCCATGGCATTTCTTCTTGAACCCACCTTGCCCGTATCCTGCGGAGCTGGCTGCAACATCACCGAACAGGGCAAGTAGTCAGGAAACTGGAAAGAAACAACAGATCACTTCTTTCAGAGGTGATTCCATGGGGAATGTATGCACATCGCACACAAACTAGAAAACGAGGGTGAGGAGCAGGGAAAAGGAAACACATGTTCATGCACGACCCCAATACCCAGAAGGACGTCATGAACAGAACTGCCTGAGAGTCTTGTATACACCGGACACACAAATATGCATGGGGGGGAGGGTGTTCAGACATGGGACCATGTGATGCGGGTGTCCTTCCATCTGGCTTGCTCATGTCACTGACCCTGATCCTACTCCTCAGGATGGGCTTGTGCTAGGACAATGTTCCCGCCATGAGTCATGGCTCTGCGCCACCTCTGCTAGGGCTCCCAAGACACCTTCGTTGGCTGGCCTTGACTTTTTTGCCATGACCAGCAATGTCGCAATAAGTACCCTTCCTCATCCCCCTCAGCACAGTGTCAATCAATTCCAGAGACTACTCTTCTGGGCAGGGAACTGTCAGGTCACAATCACACTTTTCAGGTTCTGATACACATTGACATGTTATCTCCAAAAGGTAATGTCACTTCAGACTCTCAGCACCAGTGCATGGGACGACCCAGGACCATGAAACATTGTTAAAGTGACTTCCTTAAAAAGCGCTGTGGCCCTAGCTGGTTTGGCTCACTGGATAGAGCATCGGCCTGGGGACTGCAGGGTCCCAGGTTCGATTCCGGTCGAGGGCATGTACCTTGGTTGCAGGCACATCCATCCCCAGAAGGGGGTGTGCAGGAGGCAGCTGATCGATGTTTCTCTCTCATCGATGTTTCTAGCTCTCTATCCTTCTCCCTTCCTCTCTGTAAAAAATCAATAAAATATATATTTTTTAAAAAAGCGCTGTGATAAAATATACACAACATAAAACTTACCATTTTATGGGCGCAGTCCAGTGGCATTCAGTATATTCACACTGTTCTGCACAATCCTCACCATCACCTCCAGAACCTTTGCATCCTCCCACACCGAAGCTCTGTCCCCATTATTACTCACTCCCCATTCCCTCTCCCCTGCCCCTGGAAGCTTCTATTCTGCTTTCGGAATCTATGGGTCTGACCACTCTAGGGACCTCCTATGAGAACCATCACATAGTATTTGTCTGGCTTCTTTCACTTTGCATAATGTTGTAGCGTGTATCAGAATTTCCTTCCTTTTTTTAGGCTGAACCATGTAACTTTGGAGGAGCATATAATCATAAGACACACTAGCAGAGTTCACGCCAAGTCTCAGAGGGCAGGCAGACTGGCCCTTGGGGAGCCAGGTGCTCCCAGGGGAGTCGCAGCCTCGAGAGGTGAGGCAATTTCTCTGACATGACTCATAGAGCCATAGACAAGGCTTCTTATTTCACTAAGATCTCCTGTCCCATAAGGAACTCTTCCGTTTAGAATTCCTCGGGACCAGCGGAGGGGCACGTCTTTCTTTTTATAGCTGGGCAAGTTAAGGAATAACATGCGCATGTAATTAGGTAGTCGGATGAAGGGAAATATTTAAGCCGTTGGTTCAAACAGTGCCTTCAAAGGCTGACAGGCTATTTTCAAGGGCTTAAAAAAAGACAACCACAGCCCGTGCAATCTAGAATTTCCTCCAAGGGTGCAATTTGAAGGCCCACAAATGTGAAGTCACTCCTGTCCCCTTTCCTTTGCTCTGGGTCACATTACAAGGTGCTGCGGGTGAAGGAACCAGGGCGGGGGTGTGCACATAGTAGGGGTCACCCACCGTGAGTACAAAGGGGTACGTGTTGGCCCCCAGCTTCTTGATCAGGCTTTCCTGCAGTTTTGTGGGGGCACTCACAGCCCCCACAGGAGGGAACACCTGGACCCGAGAGAAGTACAGGTCCCTGCGGAAGCTCAGGCCCATCACGTCAATGTCTTCCTGGCCGTAGCGGAAGGCGCACGTCACGGAGACATACACTGGAAGGCAAGCAAGAGAAGGGTGGCCTTCCCGTCGGCTGAGTGAGCTGGGCGACCACTGACACCATCAGTAACGGCATCCAACCTTTAGCTTCTGGAGGGGATGGGGTTTGAGAACCACACCACCCAGCTGGCCCACACACCTTTCCCAGGGCGTGTGTTAATTACTGTAGAGGGGTATGCCAGGGGACTGGGGGCACCTCCCAAGAACCCTGTTACTTTGTCACCTGACCGCACTGTTTCCTCCATCTCTCACCACGCCCTCTTCTTGACCCCCAGGTCAGTGACCTCAGGAGGTTTTTAAACAGCGCAGGTCGCTTGGGTTCTGAGAGGAGGATGTCTAGATGGAGCTGAGGGCAAAGGTAAGAAGCAGAGGGAAGCTGTGCCAGGGAGCAAACAGGTCTGTGCCAGAGCTGGATGTGGGTCTGCGAGAGGAACTAGAGAGGCTTTTGGACCAAGTGAAGAGATGGAGTCGAATGCAGGAAGAAACCCCTCTTCCCACACTGCTGGGAAACCAGCATGCTCTACTAGTAAGTCAAGCATGTCAAACTCGCAGCCCACGGGCCACATGCCTCATTTATTTGGTCTGTGTTAGCCTTTGAGTTTGACATGCTTGCAGTGGCCACTGCTGGAGACTCAATCTGATTGAAAGATGTAAATTGTGCCCAGTGGACCAAAGAATTACACGAACCTACACAGTTGCCACTGTCTTTAATGTGGTAAATAAAACCACACATTGTTCTAGAACATACAGCATACAAAAGTGGTCCCCCATGGGCCTAGGGAGTTAGTTGAGGATTTTGTCTGTGTCTGTCCCAAGGATAAGAGACACGGATTGCTTGAGGTGACGTGGTATTACCTCGGAGCAGGAGCCCTTCCCTGGCGAGGGCACCATGAGGAGGGAGCAGACAGCAGGGGTGGCGATGTTCAGCCCCATTTCTGCCAGGCCCCCTCACTGCTGATGGCCCCACATCTGACATAGTTCCCGGGGTACATCCAGGGTTAGGAACAATGTCTCATGGTTGCCAGTAGCAACTAGTTAAAAAGGCATCTTCAGAATGGAACTGAGTCTGTGACATTGTCACAAGGATAATTCAAATCTGTTCTAATTTAGTTTCCGAACTGTTATTTGTGCCAAATTACCTGCCACACTTCCTAACTGCCAGAATCTTCAAGGCAGCTGTGATGCTGTGGTTCAGAACCACCACCTTGAGCAGCAGGCCAAGCCTGCCTTCCTGCAGCCTCCAGCTCCCCCTTTTGGAGAAACCCACCAAGGAGCCCACCTGCGGTTGGCTGTGGCATAGAACTACGTGACATGGGGACATGTGCAAAGTTGATGGAGCCGACAGACTGGGCTCTGGCCCTGTCACCATTTACTTCTCCCGCCGCCTCAGTCACCTGGCTTCCCTGAGTCCTCAGCTTCATCTGAGAAATGGGGACAGTGATCTCTGCTGTGAGCAGGACCGGCTCCTAAGGATGATACCCGGGAGGGCAGCACGGTGTGCAGGAGAGCCCCAGCGGTGCCCAGCCCTCCTGCCACACAAACACCCCTTCCTAGCGCCAGCCTACACAAGCTCAGGATCCACCAGCACAACACCATCTGCAGCAAAGAGAGAGAACAGTGAGGCTGGAGGAGACAAGAGAGACCAGCGGCCTTCTCTATAGACAGAGATCTTTACTTGCATTTGTAAACTATGCTCATTATAGGAAAATTAGGCAAAGAGAAAAAAGTCACCTAAATTTCCACTCCACAGAGATATCCATGGTCAAGACATTGGTACAGATTTTTTTCCCAGATGTATATGCACTTACATGGATGTTTTTACTAAAGAAAAAGAGATCCTACTACACATACTATTCAGTTAACTGCTTTCCTCACTCAATAATATTGCAAACATCTATACACATGCGCATGCACACACACACACACACACACACACACACACACACTGTATACTCATCATTTCAACGGCTACACATTGCTCCAAAGACTAAATGTAGCATAAATTTTTAATTACCCCCCTCTTGTTAGGGGAGTTAGGCTGCTTCCATTGTTCCCCATTGTAATGAATATTGCAATGAGCATCCTCATAGACACCTTCGTCGGCACCCATGGTAGACCTGGGTTGGCCTTCGATAACACCCTGCCAAACCACCTTCCAGAGATGTTTTGCTGAAAGACGCGCTCATCCTCAGTGCCTAAAAATGCCTGTTTTGTACACTCCTTTTTTCTCTTTCAATAACTATTTGAGTTAAAATAATTATAGAATCACAGAAAGTAGCAAAGATAGTACAGAGAAGTCCCTGTGCATCCACCATCCAGTTTCTCCCAGTGGTTACATCTTAGATAATTATAGCATAATATCACCACCGGGAAGCTGACATGGGTACAATGTGTGCACAGTTCTGTCATTTCATCGCCTGTGCAGAGCTGTGTGTCCACCACTCCAGCCTGGGGACAGCACTGCTCCCTCGCACCAGGCTCTTCCTCAGGTGCTTCCTCTATAGCAGTAGCTCTCAACCTTCTGGCCCTTTAAATACAGTTCCTCATGTTGTGACCCAACCATAAAATTATTTTCGTTGCTACTTCATAACTGTAATGTTGCTACTGTTATGAATCGTAATGTAAATATCTGATATGCAGGATGGTCTTAGGCGACCCCTGTGAAAGGGTCTTTTGACCGCCAAAGGGGTCGCGACCCACATGTTGAGAACTGCTGCTTTAGAGCCACACCCCTATCCCTTTAGCCCCTGGTAATTGCTGGTCGGTTTGCCATTTCTATAATTTTTCTCATCTCCAGAATGTTATATAAATGGAATCTACAGTACATGGCCTTTTGAGACTGGCTTTTTCTACTCAGCATAACACCCTGGAGATCCTTAAGCGGTTGTATGAGTCAGCCATGCCTTCTTTTTTTTTTTTTAATTTTATTGATTTTTTACAGAGAGGAAGGGAGAGGGATAGAGAGTCAGAAACATCGATGAGAGAGAAACATCAGTCAGCTGCCTCTTGCACACTCCCTACTGGGGATGTGCCCGCAACCAAGGTACATGCCCTTGACCAGAATCGAACCTGGGACCCTTCAGTCCGTAGGCCGACGTTCTATCCACTGAGCCAAACCAGTCAGGGCCATTCCTTCTTTTTTTTTAAACATATATTTTATTGATGTTTTTACAGAGAGGAAGGGAGAGGGATAGAGAGTTAGAAACATCAATGAGAGAGAAACATCAATTAGCTGCCTCCCGCACGCCCCTGTTGGGGATGTGCCCGCAACCAAGGTACATGCCCTTGACCAGAATCGAACCTGGGACCCTTCAGTCCACAGGCCGACACTCTATCCACTGAGCCAAACCAGTCAGGGCCATTCCTTCTTTTTTATCGCTGAGCAGAATCTCATGCTAGGATATGGCACAGA